AGGGCTTATGCCACTAGTAGCGTTAAAATTTCCCATTATTTCTCGCTATACACCGCTCCTAGAAGATGTGAGTCAGGATTCGATATCGCGTTATGCTTCGATATAAATGATATCTTAGCATGTGAGTGTTCTCCTATCCTACAGGAGTTTTGTTTGAATATGGAGAGTACCAAGTGTGTGCACCTTGCTAAGGCAGGGTGATGGTGTAGAGGAGAGGAGAGGAAACCAGGTGATGAGTTCCTTCATCAATATCTTAGTAGTTTGGAATTGGTTTGGAATTGGAGGAATAGTTAATAGGCCCCGGCTTTACAGATGATACTAGGGAAAGACGGGGCAAAATGTATCATGTTCCATATTATGGCTATATCCATGGAAGTTCTTTTAAGAAGTTCTCAAGGCAATGCCCCTTTCTAAAATTATATGGTATTGGTGTCTCCATATAGGGGAAATCAGTCAGACGATAATACATATAATAAGATAGTAAATGTTAGTTGGAAAGCTATTAGAAAGACCTGAAACTGCCTAGGTATGATACTTCTAGTTGACAATCTTAGTTTACCACCTATCTATCTAAACGTAGGTTCGTGATTTACTCTGACCGTAGTACAATGTGTGTTAAGCAACAGGTGACAAGTATTGTGAGAGCGTAGACACTCGATAGAGGTAAATAAATCAGTTTACGGTGAATTCAAACCCTAGGTACTTTTAGTATTCCCTGCGATAAAGCAGGGTGTTCTTTCTCTCATTTCTCAAAAACTTACACTTCCTACCTTTCTAGATACTCTCCTAGGAATCTTCCCAGATGTTACTTCCTTTTCAACTTTCCTTATTACCTATGTACCTACATTCACTGATTTTGTCACTTGCTAATTAACACTGCAGTTGCGTGGCACTTCACTTAAGCTTGTTGATTCTTGCTGTTTGTGTCCCCCACGTGTTGATTGTGTTGTCCCCCGCCGCTCTACCTAGGTACGCCGGCGCTACTTTGTGATCACTTCCAGTTCTCTCATTGCACCTCTTTTTGTACTTCTTTTCATTTTCGTCAATGGTTGATTGTTTCACTTCGACACTTGACGATTTACTCGACACCTCGGATCTCTTTTCATGACGAGCCAACCGAAAACTCCAGGTCGCCTTAAGTTAGTACCAACTGAATTCTTCTTTTTTTTTCTCTTCACTTCATATTCCTCAAGTCAACCTTAGACATTCCTACATTTTCTGCTTCTATATATGCTACTCCCAAACCAACGCCACAGTGGCCTCTTAGCTATGACAGTATATCTTGCTCTTAGCTCTCACTAACAAGTCAATAGGCGCGCCAACTCCCAGTTAGGGCATGAGATGTCGCAGCAAGACCATTGCAATAGTGATGGCGAGTTTTACCTTCCCGGTGGTAAAGGCATCTTCGTAACCACCACTAAGAAAGGAAAACCAGCCCTTGGCCGCAAGAAGAAGGACAGGCTCCTCGAAGATTTTGGTTTCGACATCCTCGGCTCAGCATTTGGCATTCCTTCTCGCATCGATTTTGAACGTGAGGCGGAGCGAGAAGCTTGTCGCCGCAAGAGCTTTACTACCCAACGTTCAACACCCACTACCCCTTTAGCCCTAGCACCTCCTACTACGCCCCGCGGAAGATTTACTAAACATCACGGTCGTCATAAGCGTGGAGGCTCTCTTATTGCTATAAGCAAGAGAGGTCCCGGACCTACTTCTACCCCCACCCGTATCCGTCGTGGTACTGGAAGTCTATCCAGTGGTTCAAGTTATGATAGACTGCCTGAAGCAAGAGATGGGTATTTGACACCGGGCTACTTCTATCCACCAGCAAATCCAACGCCGGTGTCGTCTCCTATGTGGAATCTTGGCAATAGCATGGCCATATCACCCAATCACGGTTTCCCAACAACGCCGCCTGCTGGCATCGCATATTCGAGCGGTATTCTGCCGTGGGCACAGTCGGCGCCTCTGATGGTACCAAGTCCCCATTACGTACAATCTCCGATCCACCCGATTTCCCAATCGGCTTCTGCGCCCCTTTCCTCACATCAGAGTCAGCCTATGACGCCGTATCACGAAATAAGGTCCTCTGTTTATCCCATTCCCGGATCTTTCTCAGCTTATGCGCCGCCGCTACTATCGCCACTTACGGCACTACCGTTGTCAGCAAACCAACCCCGAGATGAGCCGGGTACGACAGCCTTGAACAGTCCTTTCCCTCTCAGGTACAGTCCTAGCGAAGCTAAGAAGTGCGAGGAACATTACAGTGAAACTTTAAAAAGTACTACACCAGAAGCGGGCAAGCATGAGGACAATGACGAGAGCAAGGGAGAGAAGACGAAAGAGGCCAAGCGGGATATTGGAAAACACATTCAGCATATCCACTGCTGCGCAGGCTGTGGAAAAGTGCGATCTAGACAATATCAGAAAGCACATCCTTTGAAAAGAGGCCAAATCCCTGATCGAGATTATTGCGTTAAGTGTCAACGTGAAGCTGCCCTTGCGGAAAGCGACGATACTGGCGATACTGTCGTCAACGTAAGTCGCAATGAAATTTGTGCAAGTAATCCTAAAGCTGACTGCCATTTGCAGAATTCCAACGAAGATCCCATACTTACTACTACCACGGATGCGCCTCGTACGCGTTATAGTAAGAAGCAGAATGGCACGAATACTTGTGGAACTTGTAAACAGACGAAGAAGTCGAAATGTTTTGATTCTTTGTCAAGCATCCTGACCAATTCGACCGTTTCGGAAGGCCATACAATGCTACCCCTCTCAGTAACCTCTACAGAGGAGTCAGATGTCAGAGTCTCAGCATCGATCCGAGGTTCGGGGGCAGGTTCAAGGGCAGGACGGCATAGAAGTATGCGTCAGAGGTCACTTGTTAGAGAGACCGTTCACAAAATGGACAGCGACGGTGACGCGCCTCCATTGAATATCAGATCACCCAGATCCCCGCAAGGAATTCACCCGTGGGAGAATAAGGAAGCAACTCTGGGGGAGTATGTTGGTATCAAGAATTCTAGCTCGGTAGCTGACATGGAGGGAGTTAGCTCAAAAGAGTCAGTGTCAGGACCTAGATCGAACAACGTTCTAGGAAATACCCCCGCCAATAACACAGGTGCCTCTTCCAGGGTTTCTGCCCGTGAGAAAGGTTCCAGGTTCTCAGAGCAATCTTCTTCTGAGCTTCTTCCTAAGATCAGACCTAGGGTTTCCCTGCAGAGTATTTCGGATCATCCAGAAGTTGTCTCTCCGTACTACGATGGTCATAACAAGATGACTATGTCTATGGACGAAGATTATTACTATCCCACTATTGGCAAGGAGACTTCTAAGACTCCTAAAGCTACGTATTCCAACGTCTGCTACAACAATTCTCGCAGCAGACAGCCAACCAGTAGAGCCTATGGGTTGGCTCACGAATACAAGTCCACTTGCGAGAGCATGTCAGATGCCCGTGTCCACGGACCGCAAACACATTCAAGCGCATCGTCCAGATATGGCCGATCTATTCTAGAATCGGAACTTGGTCAGCAGGAGCGATCTCATCGAAGACGAGTTCGACGACACCGAGATGACACTGGGTTATATCGTAATAGGCCCGAAGAACGATATATGGACAACATGCTAGATACAGAACAGGAGAATCCTGATTATGTTTCCGGGTGGGATCTACCGCCAACGCCTCCAGATCTTTCCCACGCTTACTCATTTACTTACCCATATTTTACGGACGAGCCCTGGAATTCCAGTCAAGAGGGTCAAGGAGAGTTTGGACAGGAAATTGAGTCAGTAGCTGAGGAAGACCTGGCATCGGCTGCCAAATTCTTTAATAGCATGACGAGTCCTGTCGGTGACCCTAGTGCTCCCTTATTTCATATGCCAAGCTTTACGACGCGTACGGAGATCTCAGTAGAGTCGTACTATCCCGGTGAAGAACTGGACGGTCCTAACCTCCCCCTTGCTGCCTACGAATTATACGAGGCATCGGATTCAAGCTCGATGGTTGGCCAAGAGGGAAGCCAGGTCAAAACCCTTGGTAAGACTTCCAAACCGAACCACATCACTCATGAACTAGTCCAAGCTACTAACTAGGAATGTAGAATATTCTAGCAAGGATGATCGGAACAAAAGGACGGCTGTACGAGCTAGCAGTGGAGCCTCTTCGACGCATCATCCTCAACAGAAGCTTCGAGGAAGTAAACACAAGTCTTTGAAGCAGTGTGAGGAGAACACTTACCATTCTGAAGAGATAGTATCGAGTAGCTCTCCAGGCCCCGCATCCTCCATGATTGTTCATACGGGTCATTCAGCAGAGGGCCTGCAGTCGGACTCGATCGATGACACTAACCTGACTGTCGTTGGTAAACGTAGACGTATCCGTCAGATGTTGGGATTGTAATGTCCCCCCCCCCCCCCCCTTTCTACATCCCCTGTTTTTTTCTCCTGGGGGGTTTGATTATCACTACTATTAATCAGCCTAGTTTGTTCATATTGTCTTAGTGTCTGTGTCAACGATATGATACCATGACAATGAAAAACTAGGTACTTGTTGGAATTTTTCTTGTGTTGGCAATGAACCGCCTGGGTCATGTTCCAGACATCAATGATCAACCTTCCCCGTCGGCCTCTGACTATAAATGGCATGTGTCTATTAGTGCATCTTGGCACTTGGATGACTGAGTTGATACGAAGAGAGTGGGCGAAAGGAAGGAAGAAAACTTGCAGAAATAACGACTCTTGCCATTATAATTAGCTTACAAAACAAGTTCGTGCGAACTTCATTCACTGCTAAGGTGACTTGTAATTTTTTTCTGGACTGTGATATGACCTTGTGAATTATGTTTCTTAAGATATGGGGTTGCCGAGAAAGATAGGGGGGAGGAATCGGCAAGACTTATCAGCTGTTACATGCAAGATTTATGCGTATATACTCCATTATCGCGCCTTCCATTCAACATCGAGTCTATTGGTCAGCAGTGGCCACCCCTCTATAGCTAGCCCGCTTGGCTTAGTGGTAAAGCGCATCACTAGTACCTAGTGTGATGATGAGATCACTGGTTCGATTCCAGTAGCGGGCAATTTTCAATATAGTCGATCGTGAAATGCGATTTTCACATTCGGTTTTTGTTACTTTTTTTTTCCTTCTTCATATGCCAAAGGTCAAGAACGAATTAGAAATGTAATTTGAGTGGGCGTTTCTTGTTTTTTTTTGGTTTTTTGGGGATTTTTTTTCTTTATTAAACAGCTTACGGCTAAGTCTAGCTTACTTTATTTCCCTGCTCCACCTCGCATAAATTTCGGTTACATCGCCGTCTTACCTTAAACTGGGATATTGGTAACAGGCATACTCCGACTTACATTTGTTTTGTCCTTAACTCCTATAGGTAACGTTAACAAACAATACACGTTCCATACTGATTAATGCGGTACTAGTCCAAGTCACTTCAATTGGGTGGGTGTATTGCAATACAATTCGTTTTTACTAAGTCGTTACTCCTAGACATCTGAAATCGACGTGACGAGATGTCATTCATACGTAATTAGGGGATATCCACCCCCCTTTCTTTTTTCCTGCCTTGAGCTTTGATATTTGTACATGGCCAACCATCGAGGCCGACTTTTCCCTTCCTAACCAGCAAGTGTACAAGTCAAGGTGATGGCAGGCTGGGTATATCACATGGAACATTTCATGCCCATATTCCCTAGCTTCACTACTCCACTCTCAGAACCCTAGGCCCGCGCTTCTTGGTTGCCTTCTTCTTCTTGTGTCCTCTTTCAAATGAGGCCGCCGACGCATGATCTCGGCCTACGTTGTCGAGATCCTTGACCTTGTAGATTCTGATGATCCAGTTCTCACTGGTGTACGCCTCTTCTAGCGTGTTGAGAACCGGGCCTTGATCGGGAAGACGAGCACCTCGGACGCGGTCTTGGGCCTGTCCAGGAGGGAATAGGGCGCCGTAGTTGTAGTACGACATCTTGTACCTTGATTTTAAAGAAAAAAATTAGTAAAAGGTCTATCTATACTGGACCGTGTCATGAATGATGACTTACATTAAGCTGTTCTTCATGGTGTCGGAAGCTTCACCGTCGACCCTGTACTCGCCTCGTGCCGTGAAGAAATCGCGCTCTTTCACCTCGTCAGGCCAGATACCCTCGGCGATTCGTACCATCCAGAGGAACTTGTTGATATCGTCACCTGAATAACCAAGGAGGCCACCGAAAACGACCAGGACGTAGTCAACTTCATGCTGGCGCATGATCGGGTAGCTTACTTCCTCGCGAGAACTCATGGCTTTGCCAACCGTGGCGATGTGAGTGTTGTTCCATGTGTTGTTGTCCACGAGGGTGGGACGGTCAGCCATTCCGCCGATTTGGTAGCCGTAATCCCACCAGGACATGATTTTGGCGTCCTCCTTAGTATTCTGTCGGAGCCACTGATAGGCCTCGCGGTAGTCGTCGATGATATGTTGGCTACCATCTGGCATTCTGCTTGCTAGGACGACAGATGGAGAAGAATAGGCGTTCGAGGTTACCCAAGTGCAATGTTGTACGAAAATGAGTAGGTATATGATCATGGTTCCGGCTACGAAGCCTTTGGACACCAAGTTGTAAATGCCTACTACAGGTTGGGATGCAGTTCGTAGTACGCCATGCTTTGATGCCTTCTTTGCAGTCGCATCGGAGCCCTCATCTTCAGAGTTGACGGGTTCAGGCGATTTGGCGACAAGGTACGTGTCAAGAAGTTGGGAAGCGGCAATAGCAGCGGCTACACACACCACAGGGGTCAGGGTAAGCATCAATCGTACCATGACGCCGGCGAAGTAACTTCCGAATAGAGCGTATACGATGATAAAGACGTGCTCATCTTCTAACTTCTGGAAGCAGAGGTAGACACCAGCAGGGAAGAGCCAGATGAGCATGTTCAAATCGAAGAAGAAGGCCGGCCACGCCGTTGGTTGATGTTCAGAAACCGATGCAATGATCGGAATGTGAATCTTGGCATAGCCAGTATCCCAAAGCGAGTAGAACCGGCCGGACCAAGGAGCAATGTATCCAAGGGTAGTAAGGCTAACCAGCGCAAGTAGTGAGATGCCGAATACGCCACCTAGGCCGACATAGAGGAATGTTTGGAACTGGCGGCTTGGAACAGATGCCCGAACATACTCTAGGAAGGCTACAAGCTGAAGGAAGCCAAATATACCTAGAGCGGGCATGTGTTCGCTGGTGCGAACAGGCAAGAAACCGACGAATGGGATCTGCATGCTAGCCAAGGTACCGAGGGCGTACCAAGTGGTGTACGAAACATAAAGGCGCATGCTGAATCTTCCCATGCAGACAAGGACGAATGCGTGTAGAGGAACTAAACACGTAATAAAGGCATATCCTCCCCACGACGCCACCATGTAGCCGTAGAAGAGAGCGCAGAGAGCACCCCACAAGACGGAACCTAGCTTCAATGCTTTAATCCATAGATAGAAGGTGAAGACTAGAAGGAAGATTGCAATTGCCTCGTTATCATAGGAACCAGCCACAGATCTCGAGATATAACCTGGGGTAATGCCCATGAAGATTGCGGCGAGAAGACCGGCAGATGGTGAGGTGGTCATCTCATTGGTAAGGAGGTAGGCGGCGAAGGCAGTCAAGCCGGAGAATGCTGGTGCTAGTAGCACACAAATGTTTCTAATGTCGACGGGAACAGTCAAGGCTCGTAGGAGATGGTAAATAACACCACTTGTAACCATCAAGCCAGGGTAGAGGGTGCCTCCGGTAACTCGACCGAGAGGATGCCATGTTCGATCGTCGAACCAATCCCAGAAGTCGTAGAATCCGTGGGTGATAAGGTACTTGGTTGCTCTAAAATTGAACCACGGGTCGACTGCGCAATATAATGTTAGTTAGGAGAGACCACGGCATGATATAAAATATTTAGAAGCGAAGAGGGAGCTGGAGATAGACTAACACTCGTGGATAATACTCTCGAAACCTGTGATAATAATAAATAATAATTAGCAAATACGTAGAACAATTCGAGGATCAAGGTAAAACCATACGAATGACCGAAAACAGACGACTCGCGACGGCAGCGGCGGCAATGAAGCAGAGAATAATGACTCTTAATAAAGTCTTGGTGCTCTGGTTCTTGCCGACGTTGACGAGCAAGTCGACGGGCGTAGAACCAGCGTCGGTTGCGACAGGCATTGTAAGTGTTGCCTTAGGACAATGCAACTATGTGCTAGACGGCGTCAACATTTGAGAAAAAAAGTGTGGTGCGAGAAGAGGGTTGAAAGGTTAAATCGGAAGTGAATTTGGATAACTTGGGTCGTGATGGATAAAACGAAGTGCGTATGTGGTGAGGACAGCTGGAGCTTTCAATCCGCGCGTCGCACTCTGCAGAAAGAGCTCCACGGTAACAGGGGTTTGTTCGAATTCAATTTAGTGGGGGTACTTAGGTACTAACATTTGAAGCTTTTGGGTTGTATGTTTCTTTGAAGGGTAACGACCAGGTCCAGCAAGGCTAACCAATTAGAAAAAGGTAAGAACTAGAAAACGTACGTACATACATACATAGGTCAACGTATGTGTACTAGATTGTGTACTTTGTACATAGGTACACATTAATAGGTAGGTACACAAGTACATTAAACACACAACACCCGAGGTATTTCAACACATCCATGTAAATATATATATATGTAGGTACCTACCTATAGATATGTATGTAAATGTAAATCCATAGCTCTGAGCCATATAGAACCATAAAGACTTTAGTCGAGCTCTCTCAATTATATAGCTAGATAGATACCTACTAACATTTCTATCATATATAGCCTAAAAGAGCTAAGTAGGTACTTAAGTAGGTATGTATACTCCATCTCTTAGGATATCCACTTATCCTCCTAATTGTCAATATAGGTACTTACCTAGGTAGGTAGTCTCGAACTATCATTGAAGGCTTTCAATGTTCCTTAAGAGCCTACACTTCATAAGAAATGCTCCAATTTGAACTTTTGCTCGAGTACATCTATATTTACCTTTTTCTCTTACGCATATAGAAAGGCAAATAAAGCACGCTGGATATAAACATGAACAGAGAAAGGTAGAAAATCACTCAAGCAGGCCGAACTGAGCCGTCAAGGCGGTTCCTTCAACATCATGCAAGATCCGGCCTTCCCAATTGTCTAGGTGAGCATAAGTCTTGGTATTGTACACATGTACAGCGTGAAACCCAATGAAATCTATGAGGTGGTTTTCTGGACCGCATCGCAATTATACACAGGCCCTACGAAGCCGTCGTCAGAAGAACGGCCTCGATACGACTTTCAGCTCAGCATCGTGCTCAGATCCAGCCCTCTCTCTGTCCACAGACTCTATGGTAATCCGTACGTAGTCGATCCAGTAATATTATTACATCCCTAGGGATTTTGCTTTGCAAGGGCGTTAAAGTAAGCTTCTAGATCGAACTTGGGATCGTTCGGATCTTGGTTCACTAATAGATTTGTCAGTATTCAACTACCCTCTAACTAGGTACTTGAAGACGGAGAACATACAAGCACTCTGCTCGGTCGTTTGGGCAGCTGGGTTTTTGGACTTCGCATATTCGGCCTTAGCCTGCTCTATTAAGTGTTGCTTATGCTCATATGCCTTCTGTGCTGCGGTAGTCCTTTGCGCTGCGCTGATTGATCTTTGGTGTGTGAACCCGTAGAAAACACCTACGGCAAGAGCCGAGTACCGGAGTACCTATAAAAAATCCTATCAGCTATGTTCCTGTCGTGCTTGTTGTGATCGTTATGCTCGTCTTGCCGGTGATGAAGCTCGGGCGTACGGCAGGGAAAACATACGTTGACTCCTGAAGTAGTAGACATTGGGCCGATTTATGGCGCGAACGCTTTTAAGAGGGAGCAAGCGATCAATTAGCGATGCACGGTTTGGCGATCGGTTGCCAATTGGCCCTATTCCGAGGGGAGGAAATTGTCGAGGGTTGTAGTTCAAAGTTGGGAGGTGGAATAGTAAGAGCGTGTCACGGAAGTATGGACGGCGTCGGGAAATTTCGCAGACTTATTTTCCTAATTTTTTTGCA